TTTTTTTTTTAAAAAAAAAAAAGATCGATTATATCTTGAATCTAAACAAATAAACCCTCTGGTAAGTTCACTATTCGAAGAATTCTTGAGTAACACCTGTCTCTTATACACATCTGATGTGTATAAGAGACAGGATAAAGAGAATAGAACAAAGGAAAAAAAAAAAAAAAAAAAAAAATTTTTTTTTTTTCATTGATAAATTAATCTAAATTGAAACAATCATTGTGCTGTAAATAAATAATATGAATAAATAAATAAATAAATAAATAATATATATATATAATATATATATATATATTAAAACCCGGGTGTACGTAATTTCATATAGTTGCATTATCTACAAATTTATATTTATTATTAATTGTTATTTCGTTGTTTCTTAAAATTACTTGTTACTTTGTAAAATAAAACTACTTGTATAATATATTAATTACTAAGTCTTTGTAATTATGGTTTTACAATGAGTATCACAATTCCAATACCATGAATGGTAGTTCATTTAAAAAAAGATCCACGAATAAACTTTAAAGGAATTTTCCTTGACAAATCTATCTCATGAAAAAAAAAAAAGTGACGAATTAAATCTAGAAAAAGAAAGAAAAATAAATAAAATAAAATAAAATAAAATAAAATAAAATAAAATAAAAGATTATTTATAATTATAATAAATTAATAATTTTAATAAATAATAGTTATAATAAAATTTATTATTATTATTTTAATTTTCTTTATTTTTTTTTTATTTATATATTTATATATATATCATATATATTATTATATACAATTATACAAAATACAATATATATAATATATATATTACAGTATATATTATAAATAAAATTTCAGAATATCACACAAAGGTCTTAATTAAAAATTACTGTGGGTAAAATTTTATAAATATTTAAATAATAAAAAAACTGGTAAATGAAACTCATTGACAAACACACATGGGAAAATTATTTAAAAAAAGTTTAAATCTTGTATTTCGATGTATTTTCGGAATTAAAGAAGACATTTTCCTTTTAGCCGATTTTTAGAAAAACTTTTTTTAAAGTAAGACAAAGATATAGAATTCGCATGTAACATGCAGTGTAATTAAACCTAAAATGGACCTTTAATCCAATCTTTTTCTTTTCGATGATAATTGTATTGGTTATGCAAACGAACATGCGTTACATTTAAAAAGTTGATCTGACGTGATTTCCAATTTATTAAAAATACTTTTAAAAAAAAAAGATAGATATCTATAATCTATTACCTAAACTTGACAATTCATGCTATATTGGTTATTCTATTGTATCTATTGTATCATATTGTATCGTGGGGTTAAAATCATTCTTTTCGTCTCACAAAGATTTTTTGTGTCAATTGATTTGCTGAGAATTTTATTAAAGCTTAAATAAACTAGTTTTTTTTATCATCATCATTATGAGAGAATTTAGAGTATTTATGATTTTTTTTTATGTAATAATAAACTTTAAAAAAAAAAAATGTTTTTTTTTTTTATCACATCTTATTAATTATGTAAAATTGATAAGATATAAAATTCAAAAAAAAAAGCGTGGGCACAAATGCTTTTTCTGGTGTTACTTTCCATATTTGCTGAAAAACATTACCATGCGATTTTCCATTGCAGATACGTTTTTGTATTTCTTGTATCTCTTGTATTTTCTATTTGGACCGATGATAATATGATATGCAATACAACATTAAGATTTTTTTAAAATATTTTTTTTTTTTTTTTTTTTTTTTTAATCCTTCTGATTTGACTCTCATTCATACTAAATATTTTTTGTAAAAATTAATTCAAAGAGTGAGAGACATTTTTTTTTTTACGTGATTCCCTAAATAATAATGGGTTGTGTCTGTGTTAAACCTAAAGAAGAAGAATATAAATTCCCTATACCCGATGATGTAGATATCCCTTTTTCTCAAATGTTACATTATGTACATAGATTTATATGGCAAGGAAATTTTTCCTCCCCTGTTGAAGAATGTTTAAAATCTTCTAGTTCAAGAGCTCGAGTATTGAACGTTAAATGTGGTGAAGGCGCGTGGTTAAAAGATAACGCTAAATTATATCAAACTGCCGATTTTTTTGGTTGTGATATTACCGCTACTTTACAATATGATGTTTCTCCTTCATTTCTTAAAGCTGATATTTTGGATGGTCTTCGATATTATGATAAGAATACCTTTGATTTTATTTATCTTCAATTCGGTTTATACACTGAAAATGAATGGCGTGATAAGGTTATAAAAGAACTGGTTCGTTTATGTAAACCTGGTGGTTGGATAGAAATTCTGGATTGTGAAAATCAATTTTATAACGAACGTGATACGACAAGTCGATTAGGACAAGCATGTGAGCGTTTTAATAATAAAAATAAAAGATTTCGATTTTTTCAAAATATTCTTTCTTTTTTACTTTTTTTTTCGTGTCTAATATTTTGTCCTTTTTTTTTTTTTTAAAAAAAAAAAAGATCGATTATATCTTGAATCTAAACAAATAAACCCTCTGGTAAGTTCACTATTCGAAGAATTCTTGAGTAACACAAATCAAATTATTAAAATTCATAAAGAAGAAAAAGAATGTATTTTAGGAGTTAAAGGAGGTAGAGTTGGAAAATATTTACTTCAAAATATCGTAACAACCTGGAAAAATTCAAAAGTTTTAATATCAGAATCTATGGGAATTACTCAAGATCAATATGATAAATTAATTCAACAATTTATAAATGAAATTAATAAATCGAAGACTTCTATAAAATTTGTAAGAGTTTATGGTCAAAAAAATGATAGATAGAAAATTAATAAATAATAATATTAATATTAATTAATAAAAATGTTAGTATATATAATTTAGTAATCATTATGTTTTTTTTTTTTCAAATATTTTAATTTTTCTTAGAAATCCATTATTATTATTTATTATAAGGAATTATTATTATGTTTGTTTAATTATTATTTTTTTTTTTTGTAAATTTTTTATGCAAGTCTTTTTTTTTT